ACTTTCTATTGTTATTTTAATGTGAACTTTCCCTACTTAAAAATAAAAAGTTTACCGTATAACAGGGTATGCTTCAACCCATAGGCAGCAGCATCCAGCCTCGTGTTCGCACAATGTACAAATCACTTAATGCCCTATTTCACAGAACATATTGTGGACATTAAGTGATGCATGACTGTAATAGGAAAAGACTGAATGACCTTCGAAGGGACTGACCTACCGTATATTCTACGACTTATGGAAGAAAATACAATTTGTAGATAAATCAGGAAAACCTTCTTTTCAACTATGATAAAGCAAAAGTTTTAAAATGTTGACTCTAACTAAAAACACTTCATTTCTTTGGTCAAATCCAAGGGACACCCTTATCTCTTAATCTTTTAAAATTAACTACATTCTTTATGCAATGTGCGTACATTAAGGAGCAGTAGAGTGATGGAGTTTTAATTTTTACCAATTCAATTTAAATGCAAATGTTAACCACTCACATGATGCTACTGTGTACATAATTAAGCATCATATACTACATGAATCATATACTACGTGAATCATTCAGAAACCTCCAGAGAGCCATTCTGCTATGTAAAACATGCATCATTCTAATAAGCAGCCAAATGACATATACTTTTGTCCTCATTAATGCTCCTTTTGAATTATAGGTCAACTGATTATGGGACAACCTATGAGAAACTGAATGATAAAGTTGGGCTGAAGACAATTCTGAGCTATCTGTATGTGTGTCCTACCAACAAGCAGAAGGTAAGAAATACATATTCAGCGTGCTACTTATTCATGATGTGACTTCTGTCTTGGTTGGCTAACCTCTCTAGCTGCCTAAAATCCATTACAGTTAAGCTGGGATTAGAGATGTACAGACAACCTGATGGATGTTAAGGTGAGCAAAAAGTCTGACACATCATAATTTTCAAATCAGCAGCTATGAATGTAGAAGGGCGAGGGGTAGGTGGATCATTACCATTTCTGAAGGGCAGCTACAGGAATGAGTTTTGTTGAGTGGATGCTGCTGTGTCTCTCATAAGACCTCTGACCAATCAGTCACAGGAATCAGAAGAACTTTGTTTGACAAGACGGGAGAAAACATGAGCTTTCCATCAGATTCCCCCCTGAACCCCTCTGCTCCCCGGACATTGAATAAATAGTTTAACTAGAATTTAAGTGAGTGCGTTGACCTGTGGCAAGTTGGAGTTTTCATTTCTAGTGTTTATTCAGCCTGGACACAAATATCAGATAGAGGCACTGCATTTGGCAGAAGAAAACAATTCGTTGGAAAAAGTGATGTGATTGGTACCTCCTGAGAATGGACCTTAGCTGGAAGGGGCCTTGGAGATCACCTTTACAAACACCCTAATTTTACTTAGAAGCAAGCTAAGGATTAGAGAAAAGAGATGGTTTACCCCCATCACAGAGTTATGGGCACAGTTGGCAGTAAAATCCAGGTGTCTTTGTTGGCAATCAGTACTGTTTACACTAGTTCATACTGCTCCTATTAAGAGTGCCTATCTACTCTTCAGAGAAATTATTTTCCAAGAAAAAGATATTTGCTTTATATGAGAAAAACCTGGTTGTCTCCAGAGGAAAGGGATGCTATATCTATCCCTTTGTTTATAAGCTTGAGTTATCAAATTCTGAGCTCTGACTTATAATGTCAAAGTATAACCTGGGTTATATGAACTAACCGTATCTATCAAGCAATAGAAAAGCACCGTTCATGAGTATGTCGTTTGCAGTGTTCTGTTTTGATGGTAACACCAATATTTAGATTCTCATTTTAGATCTGCCATTAGCTACTGTTCATGAACTTGGATAGGTTATTCATTTCTTCATCTGGAACTGCAGAAGATGGACTTGGACATCTCTAATGCAGTCATCTTCAACTCTGGTTTTACATTAAGAGCACTTGGTGGTCCCTAAACGTGCATGCCCTGGTCCTATCCCTGTTGCTCTGGAGAAAAGCTCTAGTAACTTTATCTTGAGAAAGCTCCCCAGATTTTTTTTTTGAATATGCATTTAGATTAATAACCACTGCAGTTAAATATAATGTTCTCTCTGGCTCTAAACATTTCAAGTTCTCCAATAGAAACAGCGTAACTTATCAGTTGAGCATGGACTCTGGAGACAGTTGGCTTGAATGAAAAACCCAGCCATGCCACTTACCAAGTGTATAACTCTGGTGATTTACTTAATCTCTACAAGCACTGTGTCATCAAATTTAAAATGAGGATAATTGTAGTACCTACCTCATGAGGGAAGTC